GCTCCTCCTCTTCTTCTTCTTCTTCTTTTTTTTTTTTTTAAGATTTATTTATTTATTCATACAGAACTAGGGTACAGGCCAGAGGCACAGGGTCGGTGAGAGACTTCACCAGAGACAGAGTGGAGAGCAGAACAGGCCGATGACAAAGTACACTGCTGAGGGGAGCAGCGGGCGGGTCAGGAGAGGTCTGCCGCACCACGTGGGTCACCTCTGGGGCCGGGATCGGACTTGTGCTGAAGTGGCTTTAGCTTCTCAGTGCTGTGCTTTAACTCACAGTGCCACCCCAGAGAGCCCAGAGCTGCCCTTCTTTAACCTGTGTTTTCCTCCCCTTTTCAACACAGTAATGTGGGCTTTCACCGCTGTGACTGTCTACATGACCCCAAACATCAGTTTTTGAGAGTGTTTTTCATGAGGATAGACTCCCCCCTGGGCGTTTCCTCTGCCCCGTGGTTCCTGGAGACCACTGTGGTCATTGGTGCCTCTGTGTGTGACACCAGCTTTTCTTCTGTATGCTTTTAAGATTTTTATTACTGATTTTAAGCAATTTGAATATGATGTACCTTCAAGGAGTTTTCATTGTGTTTCTCAATCTTGGGAATGCTGAGCTCACAGCTCCCTCACTGATCACTTATTACATCAGAGAACTCTTCAATATATTGCTTCAAAACTTTTTTCTACCCCCAGGACGCCCCCCACATCTTCCTGATATTCCAGCCACATATATCAGGTTACTCTGTTTTTTTCTCCTTTTGGGTAGTTGCCCTTGGTATATCTTCATGTTTACTAATCTCTTCTGCAATATCTATTGTCTGCTCATCCTGTTCAGTTTTATTTCATCCCAGACATTGTAATTCTTATCTCTAAAAGTGAATTTATTCCATGGTTTTATTTAACATGATCTATTATCTAATTTCTTGGCTTGCAATATAATGATGATGGTTTTAATGTCATTATTTGTAGATAGTTCTATTATCAGTATTGATTTGGGGTCAGTTTGATTTTCTTATTATAAATTCTATTTTCTTGTTTCTTTGAGTGCATGGGTTTCTTCCCCATTTTTCTTTTATATGTATATATATATGTATATATACACACATATACATATATATACAAACACACACATACACATATATGTGTGTATGTGTATATATATATAT